CAACTCAATGTGGGTTGCCTCAGCCTCCACAGGGTGCCCATTGATTGCCTTGCGTTAGGCCATGGGCTCTCACTAACTCAACAAGCCTAGCCCCTTCAAGCTAGGTCATGAACCTTAGACCAGTCAACCCGCTCTCGTCTTCTCCTTTTTCCCCTGTAAACCAAGTCCACAGGTGTCAGTGGCCAAACAACCTGTCTCTTTATTGCTGCGTTTCTCCTACTTCCACTCAACAAGTAGATCCAGGTGGTCACCTACCAAGCATTTCAGCCTGCTCACAGGCTCCCTTTAACATTCAGTCCCAGAGAGGAGTTTTCTTCATGGTTCCAGATTTTTTCCAGCTACTGACAAAGACTACTGGTTCCTTAGTATTCCAAAGCACTGGGTGGGACATATATTTCCAAAGCTTTTTTACAGATATGGCCTAAACCCATTTAAAAATCAAATTTTAATGGCTGAAGCAAGTGGACTTACAAACTTTCTACTTCCCATATTTTCCCCAGAAAAGCAACCAAGTAAATAGTGTGGCTTTATCTGACCTCTGGCTAGACAAAGATGGAAAACTTCCTGGAGGGAGAGGTCAAACAAACATCTACTCTCTATCTTATGATTTGTTTCTCCAGTACCCCACTCTCAGTACCATAATGTATTAGTCTGGGTACTTTGGAGAAACAAATCCACAGCAACTCATGTATAAGAGAGAGTTTTATGTAAAAAAAAATGTGCTTTTTCAATGAGGACCTAATGCCAGGGGTTTAAGTGGAGAGAAAATGTTTTGAGAATGATGAGGGCAATGAATGTACAAATGTGCTTTACACAATTGATGTGTGTATGGGTTGTGATAAGAGTTGTATGAGCCCCTAATAAAATTATTTTTTAAATAAATAAATAAAAATAAAATGTTAAAAAGTGGGGCAATGAATGTACAAATGTGTTTTACACAATTGATATGTGTATGGTTTGTGATAAGAGTTGTATGAGCCCCTAATAAAATGATTTTTTAAAATCATTAGCCCCACATGTGATTACTGGCCAGGTTGGCACAACTAACTAACTCAGGCTGCTTCAAAATGCCTAAAGGTTTTCTGTAGATAAAAGAAATCAGGTTCTATAGCCAACCTACCATAAATGTAGTAACCCCTTTGGAGGGCTCATGGAGATTCAAGGTCAAATAGCACTAGGTTAAGATGATGACTCACTTCACTGCTTGTCTACTATGTTATTCATTTAGGATATTACCCATCGACTTTGTAATGTGTTAGCTGGATGCCATGCATGCCTTGTGAGAGATCTGTAAGTCCCATTATATATACCCATTGGAAAATACATTCTCTCTCTCAGTCCTGACATGGGACAAAGAGCCCCTGGAGTGGGGTGGGGGGGACATAAAGCACCCCTTATGGGTTATGATCAGATTGTAGTCTCACGTTTTCTTGTGTGTAATAAAACTGCAGGTTTTGTCTGTTTCTGGTCTTCAGTTAGGTCTTACTGAAGGGCTCGTGGATGGTTGTTGAGAAAGCAACAAGGATGACCAGGTTTCAGTTTAGAGCCTTCTTTATTAAGGAAACCCCTTCAGACACTTTTTTTTAAGAGGCCGAGAAGCTTGGCAAGAGCACCTTTCAAAGTCACAGTTTCAATGGTTTATGTTGATTTTTGAGGTCCATCAGAAGGCAGAGGACACAAGGGTGGGGCTCTAGCATCACAACAATGACAGGCAAGTTGCTGGCCTATCCCTTCTGTCAAACATAACCAACACACCCCTGCTTCTGTCTTCTGAGAAACCAGGAGAACGTGGGGCTCAGGACATGATATGCATCCTGACCACATGTGGCATTTGCTTTAACAGCCAACAAACCTCCCACCCAAGGCTAGCTTTGTCTCTATTCTCTGTGCCAGCCCTCCTGACCTCTGTTGCGTCCATCCTAGACCTTGAAGTGTCTGATTCTTCCTGGGCATGGACGGGCACTTGGAATAGCAGGCCCAGGTCCCAACACCACAAGTTGCTTTTTGAATGCTTCTCCTGAGCCAGACTCCACTGAGGCCATGCCTGAGAAGGCTTGGCGCAGGTCATAGTGTGCCCGGTTCAGTGCGGGCACTTGGGGAGCTGCCACTACCAAGGGTTCTCCCACTATAATAGCTGCCGGTGGGTCTGCAGGTGCAGCAGCTGCAAGTGCCGGCACAGCTGGGTCCACTGAAGCGATAGGAGGTGATGGGTGGGCGCCATCTGGTTGGGGTTGCGGAACTGCAGGCTGGAAAAAAAAGTGCATTTCCTTAGGTTGGCTTATTTTTTCCCTCCCAAAGAAGGCTACCCGCAATTCTGTGTGGAACCCTACTTCTCACTTGATTTTCTCATGATAATCATTTTTAATTTCAAGGAATCTGGTGCAGTTGATTGCTATCAGCATTACAGAGAAGGGGTAACTGTGACGGTTGCCCCCCATCACATCCTCAGCCTAACCTTAGTCAGCAATGCGACCCACCTTGCCATCTACATCTGCCACCACTGAGAGCTGCTAAGCAGATCTGGTCGCCTGGTCCTTGCAACTCAGAAAACCACCCTTTCTCTCCACAAATCAAAAGACGGCCTTGTCAACTACATACTAAGATGGCTCTGCCCTGGACAACTTCACTTCTTGGCAGAGGCAGGCATGGCTAAAGTATACATCAATATGCTGCTGCTGATGAATGCCCCAACATTATTGATATTGTGAGCTTCAGAAAGGCATAGCACCAAGGTTCTGTAATTATTAAAACACCACATGAATGGCAGGGATCCCTGCATTCTGAAGATGAGGGTGAGTATACCCATATATTGTTACCTGTTTTTTGAACATTGTGCAGGTCACAGAAACATCTTCTCCACCAACCTTCTCAGTGAGCGATGCCTTACAGAAGCCATATTGCTGCCCAGAGAAAGACAGGAGCTAATTCACCTGATCAAAAAGGTAGATTTCTCCCCCAGTTTCATTGATATGCCCAAACATCAAAACAACAACAACAAAATTTAACTCCTAATTCCTTTATTTAAAAAAAAACCCCTCCTTTTCTTAAAGTTTATTATTTCTTAAAGTTTATATGGAAGATACATAATCTATAATCTATAGAAAATAAACAAATACTTTGAGAGTGAAAGAGCTCACCTTCACCCCCAAATTGGTAGTGACACAGGATAACTGTTTCCATTGATATGTTTCTTATTCACGTTTTAAAGTTTCATTTTCATATATGAAAATATGCACAGCAAAGAATATTCCATTTCAAGAAATTCTACATGCTTTACATTCTTCAAGTTGGACAATATTTCTTGCTGTCGCTTCAATTCCGTTCACCACCCTTAATGTAAACTCACTGCCCTTAGTTTCTCATTGAACCTTCTGAGATGCAGTTGCCAATTTGATTCCACTTAGAAAACCCTTTGAAAGAGCACACTACTCAAGCAGACGTACCTAACAACGAAGTTAAACTATTGTTAGTTCAAAGCAGACTTCCATAAGATGCTTTGGATTAAAGTTTAAGATTAAAAGGCAATTGTTTTGGTATTATCCAGCTTCAAAGGCTCCAGAAAGTCTAGATTCCATTGAGAATTTGTCTTTCTCACTTTTAAAAACACATGACATGTAATTTACAACTTGTATCTCTTTTTTTTGTTTTACTATGCCATTTCGTACCATGTGTTTTTCACATATTATAATAACATTTCCTCAAATCACTCATTTCTCTAAAACCATATGCTCTCAACATGATTTTCTATTTACTTATTGTATTTAGTCCCCATCCTGTTGAACATTAAGCTCTTTTTTCTTTTCTTTTGCCAAATCATCCCTATGAATTTATTTCTGTAAACCACCTCTGATTATTTCCTTAGGGTAAATTTCTAGAAGTGGATATTACTGTATCAAGGACCTGAAAGTTTTCATATTGGAGTTTAACTGGAAAATCTACATTTCATACTACCCGCAGCAGGGAATGGCTTGGCTTCATTAGGGAGCAGACTTGTTCTATTTCTCTGACTCCATGGGCCTGCAGTGGATTCGACCATTTAACAATGACTCTTAAAGTGCGGGGTGTCCCTGGGTGGCACAACCGTTCATGTGCTTTGCTGATAGGGAGCGGTTGACAATTAAGTCCACCCAGAAGTGCCTTAGAAGAAAAGCCTGGTCTACTTCTAGAACAACAGCCATTGACAATTCAATGGAGCACAGTTCTGTCTGCATGGTGTCGGCATGAGTCAAAATCAGCTCAACAGCGAGTGATTGTGATAGAGTGTTTTCAAGGTGGAAGGGCCCCTAGAGTAAGGGCTGGCGTGACCCAGCCAACAGGAAGTGAGACAGGTGTTCCCCGGAACACACCTGCCCTACTTCACAGCAGCAGCCCCTGGCAAACTGACCTTTTCTGCTAGCAGGTTGCACGTGGCTGGGTCGGTGACATCTTTAGCAACACAGTCGGTGGCTGCCACGACAAACTCCACGTAGGTTGAAGCTGGCAAAGGCTGATAAAATATAAGAGAATGCTCTGAAGGCAATATGACAGCTTGGGAAAGGTCGGGAAGGAGAGTATCAAGCCTGGCAGCTCTGGAGCCCACCATGCATGTGGGCCGCACGAGGTGGCCCCCAGGGCGCCTCCTGCATGGTTACATACAAGCAGGGGTCAGGTGTAGGGACTTAGGTCTTCCCAGAAGGAGGTGCGGGCGCCCATTGTCCATCATTCAAAGCAGAGACACAGGAACTTAGGTAGTAGAGTCCTGGAGTGGCTGTGTGGGAGCGCTGACATCCCATGGCCCTCACTGGTGGGTTTGCATTTGGAGGCCCGGGACTGTACAGCGCTGCTATGCACCAAACCTTGGTTTTAACCAGGACTGCGGAACTACAGAACACGGGGGTGCCTGCCACAGCCTGCCGCTGTTAGCCATTAGAAGGGGGTAGCTTAGGGGAGGTTCTCTGGGTTCTCTGGACGCGTTTTTCCCCTTGCGTCCCATGTCCCTGCACTGGCCTCTCCCTCCCCCTGCTCCCATGTTTCCGCAAGTGCCACCAAACCGCCCCATCCTCAAAGTCTCTCGGTCTTTACCACAAATTGGGCCCGGGACACTTCCACCAGCTGAACGTAGGCGCCGTTGCTCTGCGCGTTGATGGCCGACACGGCAGCCTCTGCAGCATGCACCACCTTGGTGTCGTTCAGCGGGGCCAGCAAGGGGCAGTCCGGGCACACTTTGCGCACATCCTCCGCTGAGTCTACGCACAGAGAGAGAAGAAACGGGGACAGCTTGGGCGGGATTCTTCGAGGCAACCCCTCCATCTCTTTCTGTTGAGAAAGGGCTAAAGGGCTAATGCATGCTCCGAATGGCTTCAGGCATTTTCTCTGCTTCTTAGGAAAGCTTCAAGTGGCTCCAGTCACGCTAAGAGTCGTTTTAACCTCCAACCAGGGCAGCTCTTGATGATTTATTTATGTTTCAGGACAGCTTTTTAAAGAACAGTTTTGAAATCCCAGGAAATTGGCCTTTTAACGCATTCTCGTTGCTTGAGGAGTCCCTGGGTGGTGTAACTGCTTAACCTGCTCAGGTGTGTGCCTAAAGGTCGGCGGTTCGAGCCCACCCCAAGGTACCTTGCAAGAAAAGCCAGGTGCTCTACTTTAGAAAGAAACCAGCCGCTGAAACCTTCCTGGCGCACACTTCCTATCCTGACCGCATGGGGTCACGGGGGACCAACCCCGACTCTTGCCCACTCTGTCTACGGGGTGGAACCCTCTTTACCTGGGCTGGAGTCACACTTGGCGAACAGCACGACAAACTGGCCGTCTTCCTGCTTCAGCACCCGGAAATCGCAGTCTCCTTCCACCGCCTGCACAAGCAGAGCCCCGGTGAGTGACGGGAAGAGAGGGGCCTTTCCTCCCTGCTAGGGCCAGAGGTCCCTCCAGGCATGGGTGTCCACAGTGACCCTCCCCTGGGAGGTGGGAAAACTGCCCTCTGCTTGCTGAGAGGCCAGCAAGCCAACTGCGGTAAACATGGGCACCCAGGAAAGCGGCTTCCCAAGGCCGTTCCAGGTGTTAAACGGGCCTGCTCTCCACCGATCCAAGGGGGGACCAGCCGGGACACCGCCACGGTCCCCCCAAGAGGACACTCACGTGCTCAGTCAGCGGCCGCACGGAGCAGTTGGCCAGCGGGGTGGGGTCCAGGGCGTGGCAGTAGGTTTCCAGCGTGTCGATTTCGAGCTCAAACACCTCTCCACTGGGCCGCTGGGGAGAAGCCAAGGGTTAGAGCCTCGGACCCTGAGCCTGCCGCCAGGGCCCAGGTGCCCTCTCCTCTTTCTGCAGAGGTCAGGGGAAACCCGGTCCTACTACAGCCCTGCACCGGTGTCCGGACAGCACTGTGTGCTCGCCAGGAAAGAGGAGATGCGACAAGTGCCTACTGTGTGCTAGGCCCCTTCACCATGAATTGGGTCAGGTTCATGTACTCCCTGCCACAGGGTTCCCACCCCACACTTATTCCTCCTTTGACTTCTTTGTTCTTTTTCTTTCAACATCTTTTTTCCTCCAACTCCCCTGCCCTTTTTTTAAATCTTCATAAAGGCTTGCGTTGTCCTTGGCTCCCCCAACCCCACTTCACTGGCCCCACTCCCTTTTAGCAAAACTGTGCTCTCTGCTGCCACTGCTGGTGAGGAGGAGGAAGAACTGGTCTCCTGCGGACCCTGAAAACATTGAACGGAGTTCGTTAGGATGGCAGAGGGGGGGAATCTTACATAACTCCCTGAAGCAGTTCTTGAAGTGAGTGCCTCGTTTCTTCAGACTGGAAAATCCCAGAGGAATAAATCTACCTTTTTTCCTCTCAGTCCTTAGCTCTGCTTGCCTCTCATTTCGGTTCAGCCTGATCCACCGGCCCTGGGAGCCTCTGAACTTCCTTTTACTGGAAGAAGCTCTGCGTTTCTCAGGTGTGCCAGTGTTGCCGGCGCGGCTGTGAACACGAGCGGGGGGCACCTGGCTCTCTCAAGGCAAGTAATGACCAGCTCTGACTTTGTCAACAAGCAGCAGGGCCCATCACCCAGCACCCACCCTTTGCATGTCATTTCCCCCGAGTCAGTCAGTGTCCCGATGAACCACCATGGTGCCTGAGATGGTGGAAGCACTCCAGATTCCCTCTGGGGCAGTCCTGATTTCAAATATGTTGCCCCATTGTGAGAGCCTATGTCTGTCTATCCAGACATTCCAAAGTTTATCTTTTTTTTTTTTTTTTGTCTTTCCCACCTACGTTTTACGTAGAACCAGATAACATGACCAACATCCAATGGCTGTGGATGTATAAAAAGGGCAATTTTGAGTCATGCAACCTAGTATCCCCAACACCACGGCACCCTGGTCTTTCGCAAGCATGGTTTCCCTGAAAGAATTATCCTGCATCCTTTGGAAAATGAATTTTAAAATAGGCAGCAGACAGATGTCATTTTCCCAGCCCTCCAAATTTCTCCTCTGGTCCCCAACGTGCATGGTCCAGATTTATCTTGACCAGCTTCAAACTGCATGTTTCTTGTGGAGTGTGTGAGGAGGTGGATCCTGTGTGTGCCCAGGCTTCTCCCTGAGGTGTAGCAGCTCTCTGTGGGAGAGGGCTTGTGTGGAGGGAAGAACACAGCGTGGAATCAAACCACCGCCTCCTTGTTTACTAACAATATGACTTTGAGGAACAAGATTACTCGGTATGTCAGAACCCAGCCTTGCTCTCGTGTGGCACACAGACAGCAGACCTACCACACAGGACACATGATAGTGAAAGGGGCACGTATCTAAGGTTTCCTACCTCGCATTGCTGAGAAAGATGGAGGTCAAGAAAGAGGAGCGGTCACTCAGAAAATACAAGGTCCTAGATTTTCTAGCAAGACACACATTCTACCTGTGATATTTAAAATAACATTCACAGCATTTTCTTCTTCTACCCTCCCACCTCATGCCCTCCCACCAGAGCCCTCCTGAGACCCAGGACTGCAAGGCAGAGTGCAGGCCTCTCCTGCCCACTCCTTCCCTGGGAGCAATCCCGGAAGAACTGACTCGTTCTGTGGTTTTCTGTGGAGAGCCCTGGTGCATCATGGGTGATGTGTTGAGCTGCTCACCACAGACCAGCAATTCAAAAGTCAGTTCATTTTACTCTTAAAGAGTGATGGTCTCAGAAACCCACAGGGGGAGTCCTACTGTGTCCTATGAGGATGCCATGAGTCGGCCATGTCTAGATGGCAGAGAGTTTGGTTTGGGGGGGAGGGGGGTCCTTTGACATGGAGATGCTGCCCTTTGGCGGCACCTGATTGCAGGTAAGGGAGTAAAGTTCACTTACCCGAGGCCACACCTTCACTTTGTCGATCTGGTTGAGGGTATGTTTGTATCCCCGTTGAAGGTGTGCATTGATGTAGTCCACCGCCACCTGGGCTACTTGCTCGGTTTCTGGGTCATCACAGTTCAGTTCCCTGAAGGCCGGGATGACGCCAGGGGGCGCCGAGCGGCAGCCCCAGAGCTGAGCGAGACACAGGAGCAGAATGAAGGACTTCATGGCTGCCACAGGGAGGCCCTAGCAAGTAGGCAGGTGGGCAGTGGCTGTAAGCTTTGGACCAACCGAGGTGCTGGGGAAGGTAGACTGATGGAGCGGTGGAGGGACGTATTTATCTGCTGGAGCCTGCGGAAGAATTGCATAAGGTCAGGAGATGTTATCTGTTCGGGTTCTAAGAAGATTCCTGCAAACATCAGCCCTGGAAGAGCAAACAGATGAGGACATCACTGGCCTCTGAGAAATCTGCCAAAGTCAATCCTGCTGTCAGGGAGACGCTCCAAAGTCTGCTTGGGACGTGGGGACAGCAGCAGAAGAGAGGACTGGACGGAGGAGGCAGGAGGGCAGCTCAGAGCCAGTCGCTGAGTGAATTCTTCTATCGTGATCTGAGCACCCCATGAAGCCTGTGAAAGGGACTGGCGGGTGTTCAGCATGTTTATTGTTGGATGGAAACCCAATCACTAAAATCCACTCATGTCAGATTATGTCCTCAAAGAGAGGCCCTGGCAGAAGAACGAAGCTCCTAGAAGTAGTATAAGTGCACATGAGCAAGACTGAGGAGAGGGTGCTTATGGGAGATGGCAAGATCCTTTAAGAAAAGAAGGAAGGAAGGAAACGTTGGTTGTTGTTGTTATTTTTGTTTTGTTTTGCTTTTGTGGCTGATGTGGCAAATGGGAGAGAGGAGGGTCCTGTGGCAGCGCCAGGGAAGACTATGACCTGCCTGAGAGGGAGGGGTGTCCTACCCCATCATGCTGCTCTCTCCAGCCCTCCAGGTGACAGTTTGCTAGTCACTGATCTGGGTTTCCTGGTGACAGGTGTGATTGGAGCTCTGGCCTGGTGGCCCTGACTAAGGCACAAGCACTGCAGAGGGACCACCTGATCATAGCCACCATTAGACAAAGCTGTGGGTGTGAGCCCAACACTGAAGGTTGGATACTAAGGACACAAATGCCTTTTGCAGCACGCAGTACCACCCTAATGCACACATACCCCACCACCAACAACAACAATAGCAACAAGTCAGTGACATTTATTACAATCTTCAAGTTGGGCCACTTTTGTCAACATTTTCCAGTCGGTACTACCTTTCAAGTGGCCTCTGATAAACCCAGGCGAGCCACCCAAGGAGGGTGGGCAGGGGAGAGAGGCTTGGGAAATGTCATTTAAGGGTCTGGTTTGAGCTAGCCTGGAACAAAGAAGCCCTAAAATGGAGACCAGCACACTCTTCAAATATTTAGAGGTCAGCGTTGTGTGTGGGTGGATTGGCACTGTTGTTTGATATTGCTTCAGAGAGCAAAATATGGTAAACAATTAAAAAGTCAAAAACAACAACAAAAAAATAGGGCGCTCCACAGGAAAAGTTAATGATATTGTGTGTGTGTGTGTGTGTGTGTGTGTGTGTGTGTGTGTTTTGGGGGAGTTTCAGGGAGAGGTTTAGAGGGAAGATAGCTGGTTGTAAGGACTTTCCACATTTACACCCAGCTGCTCACACACTTGTACAGAATCACAATGACAGGGACTCAGATAGTGTGGCCCAGACTCTGTGCTGGGTCAGGGTCTTGGCTCTTGAGACACAATACAAGCTCTGATCTTCTAGCAAGATGATCCTCAAAACCAGCAGCAACTTTCCATCGGTTTTGTACACCCCATTTCTTTTCGGGGCCTGATTCATGAGCAACTTTTTGTAGAGATATGCTTTTCTCTTAAATAACCTTTTAAAATAAAAACACATAGTCACTGCAGAAAGTTATAGTCTTAGAAATTCACAGGGCAGTTCTACCCTGCCCCATAGGGTCACTATGAGTAACTGAGAATTTGAGACCGAAAGCTGAAATAGATATATACAGAGACATTATATGTGTGTATACATATATATATGCTCATGTCTATATGTGTGTGTGATATGTATATAGTATAAGAAGTTCAAGCTGCACTGAAAGCATCAGTCAAACACAAGGCTAAAGGAATTGATGGCAGAACAATCGAAATGTTTCAACAAGCTGATGAAGCACTGGAAGCACTCACTTGTCTACGCCAGAAAATTCAGAAGACAGCTACTTGGCCAACTGACTGGAAGAAATTCATATTTGTACCCATTCCAAAGAAATTAGACTCAACAGAATTCTCAAATTATACAATAATATCATTAATACTCATGCAAGTGAAATTTCACTGAAGATCATCCAACAATGGTTGTAACGCTACATTAACAGAGAGCTGCGAGAGGTTCAGGCCAGAATCAGCAGAGGGTGTAGAACCAGGGACATCCTTGCTGATATCAGATGGATCTTGGCTAAAAGCAGAGAATACCAGAAAGGTGTGCACTTGTGCCTTATTGACTATGGTAAGACATTCGATTGTGTGGACCATAACAAACTATGCACAGCCTTGAGAAGAATGGGAATCCCAGGACACTACATTGTGTTCATGTGGAACCAGAGGGCAAAACCAGGGCATACTGCATGGTTTAAGATCAGGAAAGGTGTGCATCAGGGTCGCAGCCCACCATACTTAATGAATCTGTATGCGGAACAAATCTCCAGAGCAGCTGGATTCTGTGAAGAGGACTGTGGCATCAGGATTGGAGAAAGGCTTATTAACAACCTGCGATATGCAGATGACATAACCTTGCTTGTTGAAAACGAGGAGGACTTGATGCACTTGCTGATGAAGATCAAGGGTTGCAGCCTTCAGTATGGATTACAACTCAATGTAAGGAAAACCCAAATCCTTGTGTCTGGACCAGGAGGTAATAACCTGGTACATGGAGAAAGATTAAAATTGTCAAAGATTTCACCTTGCTTGGATTCATAATCAATGCTACGGAAGCAGTACAGAAGCAGCGGCCAGGAGACCAAGAGATACATCGCATTGGGTCCAACTGCTGCGCAAGACCTCTTTAAACTGTTGAAAAGCAAAGATGTCACTTTGAGAACTATTTTCAATCACCTCATCTGCAGGTGCTATTTGGACATTGAATAAGGACGACAGAAGAAGAATCGATGTATTGGAATCACGGTGCTGCTGAGGGATATGGACAGCACCGTGGACGGTCAAAAGAACCAACAAACCTGTCTTGGAAGAAGTGGGGTCCGAATGACTCTTAGAGGCAAGGACGGTGAGACTTCATCTTACAGACTTTGGCCATGTTGTCAGGAGAGACCAGTTCCTAGAGAAGGACTTCACGCTTGAAAAAGTAGCAGTGCAGAGAAAAAGAGGAAGATCTTCAATAAAATGGATTCACACACACACACGGTGGATTGACCCAGAGGCTGCATTAATGGGCTCAAACATTAGAGTAATTGTGCAGATGGCACAGGACCTTCTGTTGAGAGGGTCACTATGAGTCAGAACCGACTCGATGGCACTGAGCAACAATGAGTACATAGTCTATAAACTATACGCTCGGGTGTGCAAAATAAAAATTTGTTTTCCATAATGCAATTGGGTTTCTCCCCGAGCTCTCTTTCCTGAAAGCTTTATCTCATCTGCTCCAGGGAACCTGATTTCCCAGAAACGCTGGTTGAAATCCAGTCACTTTCGTCTTATTTCCCCCTTGTCTTTTCCTCCCCTTTGAGGTAGAAGGGTGAGGCTTAGGCACATGTCTCTTCAGTCAGGGGAAGAAAAACGTGCCCCTCTTTGGTCCTGTGTGGCAAGCCTCAAGAGTGGCATTTTCTGCCAGCTAAACTATCCACTTGCATGTCCACCTATGAGCTAGTGTCATGCATGTGCCCATCTAGTCCATGAAGACAAGGTCCTCCTGCAGCCCTGACTGTTGTTAGATGCTTCCACCCACGAGAAACCAGAAGGAAACCCCGCCGGGTCCTGCGCCACTCTCCCCATGGATGCCACGTTCAGTGTCCACCTATCTCACAAAGGGTGCCCCTCTCATGGTCCTTTATTTTAGCTGTGGGGTCATTCCTAGACCCCAGGTCTTCTCTGAGCTCAGGGGCCCCACCCCTTTCTTTGATTATGGGAAAGGGTGGCTGCTATGCCACACCAGGAGAGGGCCCTGGGGGCCCAGGAAGCTGTCCTCAAGCTAATCCGCCAAGACACCTCCTGCCATCACAGTCCCTCATTATTCATGGGTTCCTCTCTCAAAGCGACTCAGGGAGTGAGCTTGGATTTCCTCTGCTCGAAGACAATGCCCCCACTCCCTGCTGCTAATCTGGGGGAGCTATATTTTACCTTTTCAATATGAGGGTGCAAAATGAAAAACAATCTGATTGATCATAAATCCTTTCTGATCCTCATACTTGGAACAATCCTTCTGAGTTTAGGAGCCAAGAGTGGGATAGCTTGCTCTTTGGGTCTTCTGTTGGTGATGATTTCTAAACCATCAGGTGTTTTTTCCTGTTGTTAGAAAGACAAGGCATATAGCCAAGAGCCATTTATACCCCACAGCCTGGCCTACCTCATATACACACACACACAACACTCATTCACAGAGAAATGCAGAGATCAACAGTGGGACTATTCAACAGTGTGGTGAGTTCCCATCTTGCCTTCTTTCTAACCACATAACGTTGTTAATAGGATTTAAAGCATACTGTGCACACCATTGCATATTCTATTTCACAGCTAACTTTGCAACTTGAGAGCTTCCTACATTAAACAGGCTTTATAGACATGCGTTTCAAATGGCCACTTACCATTCCATTGTGTATCTGAAATTTCATTTATTCACCATGCTCATGTTGGGCATTTCGTTTGCTGTCAACGTATCTCTTTCATATCAAAAGTTTACTCAGAAACCTTGGGGAGCCTAGCTACTTTTTCAGGGTAGATTCTTAGAAATGGAATTATTTAGTCCCATCATTTAGAGTTTTCAAGGTCTTAATTTCTATGCTCAAGTTGCCTCGTACTTTAACCTATATGTTAAATCAGCTCAGCTGCTTTCCTCTTTTATGCTGCTACTGTTTGAAGGCTGACTTTCATGAGAACTTAGAGGTGTGAAAATCAGCAAAAATCTTTTAAAAATGTATTTTACGCCTATTTTTATTGTTAGCTCGGCTACTCCATATGCCTAATGCTTACGGATTTAAATAACTTTAATGGCAAGTTAAATAAAATGGTCCCTTATTTAGAATTTTTC